TAACTTCAAAAAGTTTTGCGTTACCTTATGGATATCATTTAAGATTTTGACGATCAAAAAGGAAGTTTATACACACGTTTAAATCATACCATACCTATTTACAAAGTAATAGGGAGAAAAATTTAGCTAAGTTTGACTAAAAAAAAAAAAATTTCTGAGTTTCCCCCACTCCCACACCCACTTGACTAATTTTTTCATTTTAAAAACTTAGAAACTTAGAAAAAAAAAAAAAAGAATTACATTATTTTTTTTTATGAAAAAAGTTTAAAATTCTTGTAAAATTTTATTTAATCATACCATTTTTGAAATATATGAATAATTATAAATGACAGAGTTTTCGACAATATCTACTCTTGAAATGTTTGCCCATTCCCTTAATAACACACATTGTTCTATTCTTTCCCAACCCAAATTTGATCTGTTGTCTGTAACCAACAATTTAGCACCCGAAAATGTTCTTTCAATTTCAACGGACGAAGAAGCAACTGAAAGTACATTTCTTACAATTGAATATAATGTTGGATATTTAATACTATTTTCTTTCCAATATTTTATTATATCATTTCTATGATCTAAACTTTCTTTTAAGTATTTTTGGATTTCTTTATACTTTGAAATATATGTATTTGTTTCTTTTTTTTCTTCAATAAGCATTTGAATTAAAGGTTCATCATAGTTGCTCTATACCCTCTCTTTGGCAAAGTGATAATCTAGAGTATTTATTGTATCATTTGAAAGATTGTTTTTTTCTCTATATTTTTTTGCTGCTAAACATTTACCATCTTTAAAAATAAGATATTAGTATAATTTTTTAATCAATAAATTAAATAATAATATGTATACTTTACCATTTGTAAAATGATATCTAATGCTATGGATGTTGATAGCTTTTTGTCTAGATCTTAAATTGAATTTCTTGTGGTAATAGGTCTTTTATTTGTTCCTTCCATTGATACTAAGTTATTAATATTAAAATATATTTATTTTTTATAATTTTATATTTATTAATGTTATTATTTATTTTTATTTTTTTAAAATATAATAATTTTTTATATTTTTATATATATTAATAAATTTTGATATTGATATATAAATAAAAATTTTGAAGTATTTATAGAAAAAAAATTATATTAAATTTATTTATTTTTAATTTTAAATATTGCGCTTAATTATATAACTGCTATATTGTAATAAAATATATTTAAAAATCCTCTTAACAATATTTATGTATATTAATAAAAAAAAAAAAAAATTTTAAAAAAAATTTAAAAAAAAATTTAAAAAAAAAAAAAAAGGGGGAAACAACCACACATTACTATATATATTAATTGATTATGATTTAACTGTTTTTTTATTGATTTTTAAACACCTTTTAAATTAAAAACTTTTTTTTTTGTTTTTAAAACTTAGAAAAATAAAAAAAAAACTAAAACTTAGAAATTGACTTTAAAAATGGAACTTATTGACCCCGAACTTAGGAACCCTTTTTTTCAAAAAATAAACTAAATTTTCTACCCTATAAAAAAACAATAATGACCCTTTTTTTAGAGTTAATAAATATGATTTTAAAAATTTACAAAAAAGCAAAAAATCATCAAAAAGTTAAAGATAAATTGAGTGAAGTAGGTCCACAGTTAAGAGAATTTTTTAAAAAAAATCTAGAAAAAGGTACAATTGAAGAAAATACAATACCTGGCATAATAAGAAAGATGGACGACAGAATTGAAAGACATTGTAGAAAATAAATTTGAAATGGGAAATGTCATAATTTAAGTAATATAAAAAGATATCTTAGAAAAAACTTTCAAAAAAATGTTTCAATAAGTACAAATAGTAGGCCTCTACAACATAATAATGTTTTTTTTAAAAGTTTAAAATGTAAACACTTTCCAACCGAAAAATATATGTCTCAAAGCTAAGGTGGGTAAAAAAGTGCCAAAATTGGGCAGCTGAAAATTGGGAAAAGGGTAATATTTGTTGATGAAACCAGAATTGAAGCATTTTCTTAATAATTGAAAACTAAAAAATGGATTCATGATACAAGAAACCTTAAACAAAGCATATTGGCCAAACGAAGATGAGGTGGCAGCTCAATATATACATGATGTTGTTGCACAGCTCATAGTGCAGGTCGTATATGTATTACCAGGTTTAACACAAATGCTGCATAATATTTAAAAATATTAATACAGGGTTATAGAAGATCTTTACGAGAGAAATGAATTTTAGGTCATATGTTTCTTTTACAAGACAATTGCTCTATTCATATGACCTATTTATTGGCCGATTTTTAAGAAAAAAAGCACATTAGGGTGATATTTATTCTACCCTGTTCACCAGATCTTAATATTATTGAGAATATATGGTCAATAGTAAAACGACATATAAAATTGATTTCTATCGGGTACCCACATCATAATTTCAATCTTTTAATTTGTTGAATTTTAAAAAATATTCATCGGGATATATTTGATAATCTTTATGAATCAACCTCAATAAAAATACAACAAATAAATAAGAACTAAGGTGAGTTCACAAAATATTATGAAACAAAACATTAAAAAAAAAATTTCATTTAAAAAATAAATTATATATTAAAATTTAAATTATCTTTTTAAAAATATTGAACCCATTTTTTTTATATGTAAAAAAAAAAAAAAAAAAAAATTTCAAAAAAAAAATTTTTATTTTATTTTTTTTTTATAAAAAAATATAGTTCAGATGTTCTAAAATTTATTTTATATTTTTTAGAATAATTGAAATTAAAATTATTGAAGATAAATAAAAATAAAAAAATTTTAAAAAAGGGGGTCAAAACTTTTGCGAAGAACTGTACAAAAAGGTTGATTTAATCAAAAATCGGTTAAAAAATTTCATTATTTGCATTTATATATTTTTTAAAATTATTTAAAAAAATATTTATTAAAAATTACTTTTTATTTAAGTTAATAAATACTGTACAGAAGAAAAACCAATGTTTATATTAATATTAAATGGTAGTGCTAAATTATTTGATGATGGTGATGATTTATTATTTATTATTATTTAGTAATGAAGTTGGTGTGTCTATTGCTGTTGTAGGTGCAGGTTTTTATATTTTTTTTTAATTTTTGTTTTCTGAATTTATAAGTTCTGTACTCTATAAGACGGTTTGGCAAGTGAAGTTGGTAGAACTGCAGAGCTATATTTATATCTCCTAATAAAAAAAAATTATATAGAGATTGATTATTATATTAAAAAATGTGTTATTGCATGTTAAAATTTTGATTATATGGGGTAAAATCTAAATGTTTTCTTTTATCTTTGAATAATTTTTGATGAATCCGTATTGACCTGGTGTTCATATACCGATATGAAATACTTGAAGTACTAATTGAGACAAAAAAGAATTTGTTGATTTAGATGAATTTGATCTATGATGAAAGATGCCCTGGATTTTCTCTAATAGAAAGTAGGGCACTTCGTTATCTTTAAGTATTTCAATGGTCAATGTCATTTAAAAAAATTGCCCTAAACTGATTTAAGATTTAATCTTTTTTATTCAAAAATAATCTAACCTCTTCTTAATTAAATAATTTCTGTTCTGATAATAATTTTTCCTGTAGCTTTTTTAATTCTCTATCTTTTGTTGATGAGGATCTTTTTTTGGGATTGGGTTATTAGTTTTACATTGTTATGATTATGGGATTGACCTTTTCCCCATCGATTATTGCTATGTACAGATCTTGAAACACAAGAGCACTCAAAATAACCATTTATATTTTTTTCAATATTGGGCAACCTGAGCTTCCGACTAAATATTCATCAATATCTATAAATAAGAATTTAATATATTAATAAAAAAAGTAAAAATATAAACTATGATGTAAAAAAGATTCCGACCTGTGCATACCTTTTATCATTTAATATATCCTGGATCATATAAACAATGTTCAAGAACCCATTAAATTATTACATGTTTGTTCATAGCAACCACCATCAATACATTCATTAATATCTAAAACAAAAATAATTAGTACTTAAACTTATATATTTAAAACTATAATAAAGCATTACTTACCATTGCAACCCTTTTTATCGGCATCTAAAGTATAGCCTGGTTCGCAAGAACATAAGAATGAACCCATAGTATTTTCACATAATTTGGGAACAACCTGAAATACCTCTTTTACATTCATCGATATCTTCAAAATTTTGGGAGTTTTCATTTTTTGGAGCTAATTCTTATCAACTACTAGATTTATAACAGTAACATTTTGAAAAAAAATGAGAGGAGAAATTGAGTTATCTTTTACTTGATTTACAAAAAAATATTTCTTTGTAATATTAAAAATAATAAATATAAAAATGAAGATATTGTATATGAATAAAGTAATAAAGACAAAAAAATTTTACTATTGTATGGAATATTATAAAGAAATAAAAGAATATTATTATTGTAGGTGAAAAAAATAATAAAGAAAAATAAAAATTTTGTTCTGCAATCTTTTGGAAAAAAAGTTATTAAAAAATATAAATAAAAAAAAAGTAATTAAAAAAAAATAAAAATAAAAAAAAATTTTGAATTTAAAATAAAAAATAAAAATTTTACTAAAATAAGAAATGAATCTAAAATAATTATAAAAATAATTATAAAAATTGTTATCATAATTATATTTATTTTTAAAATAAAACTTCAACAGATCCAAATCAAAAGAAAAAGATAGAATTTTTATTTTTTTACTGTTGTTTTTTTTATTGTAAAATATATTAATTTAATTGTTAAGCGGATTTTTCAAAAACACTGTATTTTATGATTATTATAATATATCAAAAATGGAATGGATTAAATTCCAAATAAGATTCACTTTAAATTTTAAAATTTTAAAATTTTTTATATGAATTTTTTCAATTTTTTTCCACCGAGCGTGAGTTTTGTGAGACTATTTGGTAATGTGCCGGGTAGATTTACTTGGTTAAAATTATAACTGAACGTGAGTGTTGTGAGACTATTTGGTAATGTGCCGGGTAGAACTACTTGGTTAAAATTACGACCGAATGTGAGTGTTGTGAGACTATTTGGTAATGTGCCAGGTGGAACTACTTGGTTAAAACAATCACCGAATGTGAGTGTTGTGAGACTATTTGGTAATGTGCCGGGTAGAATTACTTGGTTAAAAGCATGATCGAATGTGAGTGTTGTGAGACTATTTGGTAATGTGTCCGGTAGAACTACTTGGTTAAAATCATTGCCGAATGTGAGTGTTGAAAGACTATTTGGTAATGTTTCAGGTGGAACTACTTGGTTAAAATAACGACCGAATATGAGTGTTGTGAGACTATTTGGTAATCTGCCAGGTAGAATTATTTGGTTAAAACAATCATCGAATGTGAGTGTTGTGAGACTATTTGGTAATGTGCCGGGTAAAACTACTTGGTTAAAACAATCACCGAATGTGAGTGTTGTGAGACTATTTGGTAATCTGCCGGGTAGAATTATTTGGTTAAAACAATCACCGAATGTGAGTGTTGTGAGACTATTTGGTAATGAGTCAGGTCGAATTACTTGGTCAAAACAAACACTGAATGTGAGTGTTGTGAGACTATTTGGTAATGTGTTGGGTAGAATTGCTCGATTAAAACTAACAGGTAATGTGAGTGTTGTGAGACTATTTGGTAATGTGCCGGGTAGAATTACTTGGTTAAAATCATAACCGAATGAGAGTGTTGTGAGACTATTTGGTAATGTGCCGGGTCGAACAACATGCCTATAATGACTACCGAATTTGAGTGTTGTGAGACTATTTGGTAATGTGTTGGGTCGAATTACTTGGTTAAAATTACAACCGAATGTGAGTGTTGTGAGACTATTTGGTAATGTGCCGGGTCGAATTACTTGGTTAAAATCATAACCGAATGAGAGTGTTGTGAGACTATTTGGTAATGTGCCGGGTAGAATTACTTGGTTAAAACAAACACCGAATGTGAGTGCTGTGAGACTATTTGGTAATGTGCCGGGTAGAACTACTTGATTAAAATCATTGCCGAATGTGAGTGTTGTGAGACTATTTGGTAATGTGTCAGGTAGAATTACTTGGTTAAAACAATAACCTAATGTGAGTGTTGTGAGACTATTTGGTAATGTTCCGGGTAGAACTACTTGATTAAAACAATAACCTAATGTGAGTGTTGTGAGACTATTTGGTAATGTGTTGGGTAGAACTATTTGGATTAAATTACCGAGTGTGAGTGTTGTGAGACTATTTGGTAATGTGTTGGGTAGAACTTTTTGGTCAAAACAATGACCGAATGTGAGTGTTGTGAGATTATTTGGTAATGTGCCAGGTGGAACTACTTGGTTAAAACAAGAACCGAATGTGAGTGTTGTGAGACTATTTGGTAATGTGCCAGGTGGAACTACTTGGTTAAAACAATCACCGAATGTGAGTGTTGTGAGACTATTTGGTAATGTACCGGGTGGAATTACTTGGTTAAAACGATTATGGAATGCGAGTGTAGTAATTGTGTTTGGTAAAGTTGTTAGAGTTAGCATTTTAGAAGAACCGTGCAAATATAAATTTGTCAAAAATGGTGGATATTCATCTTTATCTGGTAGTGTATTACCACGCCAGGTAAGTGTTGTTATATATGATTTATTTTTAAACTTGCTATAACCTGATATATCAAGATCTTCATCACTATGTTTAATAAACTTTAAAATATGTTTATGAATTTCATTTCTTAAAATTATATTATTCCAAACTCTATATAATAATCTATAATGAATAGTTAAAAAGAGAAAAAACTGATTAATATGCTTTTAATTAATCTATTATTTATATTTATTTTATGTATTGTATTATATTGTATTATACTTACCTATCACTAATATTATAGCTGTTTTTTAACTCTTCATTTACGTGAAAGTTAATTAGAGATGATAGTAGTTTATTCATTGTTAGTATAAAAATTAATGAATAAAATTAACATTTCTTTTTTATAAATTAAATTTTTTAAACAAAATGTAAAAATTTTTTGATTAAAAATTTTTTTTTTAACCCTTAAATTTAAAGAAAATTTTTTTTTTAACCCTTAAAATTGAAGAAATTTTTTTTTTAACCCTTAAAGTTGAAGAAAAAAAAAATTTTCTTATAAATTTAATAAATTTTTTTTGGCATAAATCTTTTATATATCACTTTAATTGTTTTTGGAAGGTCTAAATTATCATTGATTGGATTTTGGTTCTCATAGTAGAGTGTTAAAGTTTCTAAAGATGGCGGTAAGCAATCACTTGTTATTCTATATGCAAACGATGGACCTAATTCTAAAGATTTTAGAGATGTTGGCAAAGCACCTTTAATTGGTTGATTAAAAAAGTATCCAAATGATAAATGTTCTATGTTGTTTGGAAGACCAAAAATTGGCTGATTAAAATGGGAGTCAAGGTTTACTCTTTTGGCTGTGGGTGGTAGAAATAGAGGTTGATTAAAACTAAAGCCAAATGTGATGGTTTCTACCCCGTTTGGAATAGAGTATTGATTTAGCGGTAAGTTATAGAATGGTCCAAATTTTATGTCTTTTACAGACTCTGGGATATGGCCTTTAAATAAAACCTGTTTGAAGGACTGACCAAATATTATACGCTCTATACTCATTGGTAAAGAGTCAACGACTAAAGGAGTGTTAAATTGGTAACTGAATTTAATTGTATGTAGACTCTTTGGTAAGTCACCTGGTTTAAGCGGTTGGTTGAAAGAATACCCTAGAATCAATGTATGCAAGCCCAATGGTAAGTCAAACCCTTTGAGTGGATGGTCAAATGAAGAAAATATTATTGTACGTATAGATGATGGTATTACATTTCTTTTAAGTGGAAGGTTATAATGTGAATCAAAAATGAGGGTCTCTAAGCCCATGGGAAGTGAGCCTACTTTTAGTGGACTATTGTAGTGATCACCTAAACGTAAAAATTTCAATGATGGAGGTAATTGATCAGATTTAATTGTTTGATTAAAGTCTGTTAGTGATAAATATTCTAGATCTTGTGGAAATACGCCTTTTTTTATTTCTTGGTTAAATCCTGGTATTACTAGTGTCTTTAATGATGGAGGAAGGTCATTCTTTTTTATAGTTTTTTTAAAATTGACATTAAATGTAATGGTCTTTACACCATCTGGTATTGCTGATTCTATAAGTGATTGATTATAATCATAGTTGAATGTGATTTCTTGTGTTGATGGTGGTAAAATACCTGGTTTTATTGGTTTATTAAAACTTCTACCAAAATATATATTCTTTATATTGGGTGGCAACACATCTTTTTTCAGTTCATAGTTATACAGAGAAAAGAATTCTATTGAACGTGTTCCATAAGGAATATCACCAACTTGTAACTCTTCATTAAACTGGCATTTTAAATCGGTTATATAATCTCTATCTGCATACTCTAACAAATCTTTCCTTGAATCAAATTCCTTGTAGTTGAATCTGTATAAAGACAACATTTTTAAAATTCTAGTTCTTATGAAAACATTTCTCCATACTTTTAAAAATAAATCTTTGTTATCTTGTGTCTGCATTTCTCTATTTATTGATTATTTGGTTGAAAATTATTTATAGACGTATTTTGAATTATTTCCATTTTTTTTTTATTCAAATAAATATCTTAATGATTAAAACAAATTTAAAAAAAATTAAAAAAATATTTTTCCTTTTTTTTTTTATAATTTTTTTTATATTTTTCGCATTTAATTGAATTTTTTTTTTTAATTTTATTCAAACAATATATTTTTTTTTAAGCAACGTGCATTCCAATTATAAACTATTTATTACTTAAGATAAATTTAATTCATTTTATATTGAAATAATAATGTTCACCACTTGAGTTTTCATATATTATAATTTAAATAACCCAAAGACCCATCTTTATAATTCAATGAACAAATTATCAATATAGTAAAGAATGAACACAATACTTGATAATTTTGAATGATCCATAATATTTATATTCTTGAATGCTATATAATACTTGATATTTTTAATTCTAAAAAATCCTCGATATGTTTTGATAATATTTTTTTTTTTTTTTTTTAATAATATACTTTAAAAATCTAAAATAATTATTTTGATCCAATAAAATACTTTCCTTATAACCATAATACAATAAAACTTGAATGATCAAACCCACTTGAATTTAGCTGAATGTGTATAATGAAAATAAATAAAATGATATAAATACCATTATTTTATTTATTTTATTTATTTATATTTTTTTATACTATTAGCCACTCTTTGTAATAAGTGTTTCCAGCTCTACTACGGGGAGGTTAGTATATTAGAACCGAATGGTTAATAATGTATCCCACCACGTAGAATACATAATTAACCACCATATTGAAAATAGAATGAAATGAAATGAAATGTAATGGGTGAATAATAAAACAACAAATAAATGTAGAGTATATTAGAACCGAATGGTTAATTATGTGTCCCACCACGCAGAATACATAACTAACCACCATAATGATAATAGAATGAAATGAAATGTAATGGGTGAAAAAAAAACAAACAAATAAATGTAGTGGGTGAGTATATTAGAGCCGAATGGTTAATTATGTATCCCACCACGCAGAATACATAATTAGCCACCATATTGAAAATAGAATGAAGTGAAATGTAATGGGTGAATAAAAAAACAAACAAATAAATGTAATGAGTATAATGAAAATATACTTGTATTGCACAAAAAAATGTAAATCTGCTACAATCAAAATTGGTAATCATTTGAAACAGGGGAGGTTTTTTTTTTTCAAAATTTTTTATTTTTCAAATAAATTTAACACATCTTCCTTTTAAAGAAATCATTTTTCCATTTATATTATTTTATAATAATTCATTTTATAATTTTTTGTAGAAAAGGAATAAAGTAAGAATTTGGTAGTTCATTATATGATAATGAAATTAGTATGATAGTTGAATGAAAATACATTAAAAAAAAAAAAAAAAAAAAAAATAATTACAATTTTAATTTTTTTAAATTTCTTTAAAAACCTCAACCAATACAAAAGGTCGAATTAATATTTTTTTTAATTTTTGATTATCCATTTTTATCTTTTTTTATAAAATCTTCCGATGATCCAAAAAACGATAAACGATATAGATTATTTTTAATCACTATCCTTTTTTATTAATTCACCTCGAACCACTTTTTTTTTTTTTATATGTAATTTTTTATTTTTTTTCATATAAAAAAAAAAAAAGTGGTTCGAGGTGTTTTAATAAGTTAACGATAATTTAACATCTTTGTTATTACGAATCATGGCACAAATTTGTAATGAAAAGGTATAAATCGATGATAATACTGGAACAATGCAGTAACTAAACAGCATTTAACGCTTCTAAAAAAGTCTGACGCCACTTAAAAAAGGAAATCAAAAAACAATACCGAAAAAGGGTTCCTCATGGCAATTACTCAACAAATTTCCATCAGTTCGCTCCCGTTGTCTAATGGTATGATAACTGCCTTCCAAGCAGTTGGCCCGGGTTCGATTCCCGGCGAGAGCACATCCATTTATTTTCAAAGGTATCTTTTGGGTGATTTTTTGTAATATAGATAAAAATCTTTTAGTATTGTTAAACGGGGGAGTAATGATGTTGAACCACTCGGCTATCAGGGGGAGCAATGATAGCCAAGTGGTCGAACGAATTTCCTACAAGTTACCGCTCCGGGTTCGAAACCTAGTCTCAGCAAGTTTTCCGAATCCCACACGAATTGACGTTACCGTGCCCAACTTGTATGCAGTGTGGTAAAACTCATATAAGCATTAAACACATACCAAACACAATAAACTGATGACTTAATATATCATTAAGAATCATCTTCACTTTTAAAAAAAAAAAAAAAAAAAAAAACTCGGCTATCATTGTTCCCCCGTTTAAACAAAAAAACTGATGATTTATTGTATCATTAAGAATCATCCTCACTTTTAAAAAAAAAAAAAAAAGTTTAAACATTGGACTAAGTTAGCCACTCTAGACTATATAAAAGGTTTAAAAGAAATCAAAGATAAACAAGCCAAACAATCACAAACAATCACCAACATCAATGAAGAATACAGTATATTTAAAAAAACAGCAAGAAAATACTGCATCAATATCAATGCATTACCAAATATCAATAGTTAAGAATATTTTCTTTTTAAAATTTATATTAAAACATATCTTCACTTTTAAATAAAAAAAAACATTAAATAAAATTTACTGATTAATTTAAAGAATTTGCTTTTAATTATCTTCACTTTAAAAAAAAAGTGACATAGAAATCAGTTGTAACAAATCAAATGAAAATACTGAGATGTATGCCAATCAGGATAATGATGGTAGCTCTATAGGTAGTTGCTGAGGCACCTTACTTTTCAAATGGCTCTTTAGGAGCCAAGCATTGGCTAGAACTATGCAAATAAGAAGTGCTTTTAGGTGAAACTGACATTGGGTCTTTAGTCAAAGTTTTTTTTTTTTTTTTTTTTTTTTTTAAAAAGTGAAGATAATTAAAAGCAATTGCTTTAAATTAAGTCAAAGTGGGGATATTTAATGTATCTATAACTAGGGTAGCTCCATCCACATTACAAATTTTTTTAAAAAAAAATAAATAAATACATATTTTTGACAGAATCCAATTTTTCCCGGAAAGACCCATGGTTCTCTAATGAGTGGGCCTCTCCAGATCATCATTTCATTGCTGTAAGGAATTCTTGAAAAAATGTTTTCAATTTCTAAATTAATTATCTCAAAAAAAATAAAAATATTGAATTATGGGACTAAATATCCTCCCTACCTATAATCCAAAAAAATTTCAAAAAATACCTGGGAAAAAAAATTGAAAATGAATAATTTTTCGAGTACAGTTGGAAACATCAAATATTAAAAAAAAAAAAAAAAAGTAGATGAAGCTACTTTAGTTATAGATAAATAATAAATGTAAATAATTCTAATAATCAAATAAATATACAATTATTTGTTTATGAAAACTGAAAACTAAAAAATAAAATTTTATTTTTTTAAATTTTTAAATTTTTTAATTTTATTTTATTTTTAATTTTTAATTTTAAATAATAAATTATTTAAAATAAAGGAAAATATAAATATATTATTTAGTTGAGATATAATTATAACTGTAGTATTCATTTAATTCTAAAATGCATATGAATACATTACAATTGACATTTCTTGCTGTTTAAAAAGACCTTGCTATTCCTGCATCTTTCCAAAACAAATTAATATGTTCTTATCCTTTTTGAATAAGGTTAACTTTACTTTATGAGCTAATTTTTCATTATCTGCATCCCTAAATATCTTTATATTGTGGATCTTCAATATGTAATGACTGTTCCGTATCTACCAAAAAATCAACACCGATTTCCATAACTTCATTTCGGTTGACATCTTTCCATCCAATGTTTTAAATTGGACCGTAGCCTCCACACTTTTCTTAGCAACGTCTTCCCTATAAACATCACCAATTGGATACCTGACTCTGATATCCTTTACTATACTTTTTAACCCATCACAATACTTAATAAACTGACATTACAACCAATACCTATCAATTCACGTAAATAATATTTCCTATACGCACACCCATTGCAAAATTTGTAGGCTTCTGTATTCCTATCGGTACCAATATATTATTTGGCGAGATCTGGACAACTGTTTCTGACGTGTCATTCTTTCTTGCAATAAAAGCATGAGCCTCCCTTTAACAAATTACATAATGAAGTTGTAGTTCTTAAAAAGAACGCAGAAAGACGTGAGAAGAAGCCCGAAGATTTAAGTGATGAAAATGCAGACTTAAAATATAAAATATAAAATAATCGATAAAGATAGGGACATCAAGCATTTAGAGAACAGGGTAAACCAACTCAGTAAGGTTAGGGATGAACAAACTACAGCATTTTAACTAAAAGTTTGCTCATCTCTAACCTTACTGAGTTGGTTTACCTGCTTTCTAAATGTTTGATGTCCCTATCTTTATCGATTATTTTATATTTTAGGTCTGCATTTTCATCACTGAGTTCCTCGAGCTTCTTTCTGCATTCTTTTTAAGAACTAAAACTTCATTATATAAGTCTTGGTAAATCGACATTCCCATCTGAATCTTATCCATATCTTCCTTGTGAACTGCGTCGGCTGCGATCAAAAGTGATTCCCTATCTTCGACTATACGTTTCATTTCAGCCAAATCCGTTTGAAGTCTTTTGATTTCATCTTTTAAAAGGCTTTCATTAGCTAATAATCTTTGGTTTTCCTCAGCTAATTTATTTTTACTGTCACCAACTTTGTTTCTTTCATTATGTTTTTATTTTTAAATATTATTATATTATTATAATTTAAATCAAATAATTATAAGAATTTACCTAAGTTGATTAATGTATATTGATTTATAAAATGGTTATTATCTTGAAGTATTAACTAAAATGATATATAATAAGTAGTGATTACATTGCATTTTTTTTTTTTAAATGCGTTTTTTTTAAAAAAAAAAAAAAAAAAATTTGTTTTTTTATCATTTTCAAAAATTTTTTTTTTTTTTTTTAATTTTTTTATTATAATGAAAAATTATTAAAAATTTATTATTAGCGGAAAAAAAGAGACTATTTTGTGCTAAAACGACCCGGTTCCTCCATATAAAGTTTTTTTTTTTTTTTTTTTTTATAAATTTACAAGAGATTAAAATATTTTTTTTTTTTTTTTTTTTTTAAAAACAAAAAAAAAAAAAAGCGCAAAATTTATTTTCCTATGAGAATAATTAATTTGAAAAATTTGGAGGTTGGAATGGTCCAAAAAAAAAAAAAATTTTTTTTATTTTATTTTTTTTGGTAATTTTAAAAAAATTTGTTGAAACAAGTTTGTTATCCTTAAAAAAATTTTTTTTTTTTAAAAATTTTTTTAAAAAAAAAAAAAAAAAAAAAAAAAAAAAAAATTTTAATTTAAATAAAAAATACTAAATATTATATAATAAAATTACAATTAAAGTAATATTAAAGGTTTTTTTTATTACAGTCAAAAATACACGATTTATATGAAGGATTTTTTTAGGATCGAGTTTTAGGAAAAAGGATCCGGATTTTCATTAGAAAATTTAGGATCGATCCTAGTTTTAAACCTCGATACTGTGCTATATTCTACGAATACTATTTTCTTTATCTGTATTATTATTTTTATTTTCTGCATTGTTATTTATTACTTTACCTATATTCTTATACCCATTGATTACCTTTTTCGCTATCTTCTTTATTACCTTTTACTGAATCTACAAACAATTGTTTCATTTATTATTTCTGCATTTATGATAACTTAATCTTTTCTAATAATGCTAAACTTGATTCTTTTGGTGAAACAATACTTAAATTTTTAAAATTTTTTCTTATTAATAATTTTTATAAAAAAATATATTAATTATATTTCGTTTAACTGGAAATATATATAGTTTGCCTTAAATTTAAATTTGTATTCTCTAAAATAATGCCCCGCATTTGGTGTGTCACGTGCTTCACTAATTAAATATTTTATTTAATTGGGTGATTATTTTTAAAAAAAAAAAAAATTAAAAATAAATAAAATTAATTTTGAAATATTTTTTATTAAATTTATCATTATTTGTTGAATGCATTATAATAATAGGAATGATAAATTTTCATTTTTTCAAAATGGAGAAGCAAATATACATAGTAAGCGAAATACAAAGACACCTTGCAAAAGAAATTAAAGTAGTATATATATTCTGATAATAGAGCAAATGAAAAGAAGGATACAATCTATTCAACATACATTGAAACTTCAAAACAGTTTGGATATAAATATATATTGTCCCAAAGAACATGAAAACTGATAATGTTAGTTAAGTAGTTTCAATAGATTCTTTGGGAAGTAATGGTTTCCTTCTGCATATCATTTAAAAGTTGCTGAATCAAAAAGTAAGGTTATACACATTTAAATCATAATATACCTATTTATTTACATAATAATATAAATAATAATTAATTTTTCATTTTATTTTTAGATATTGATTTTATTGGACCATTATTTTCATATTTAAAGATATCACTATATGAAAATAAAATATTGTATGCATTGGAAATTACAATAGTTCAAATGGTTTTAAACAATGATATATTTTAGTTCATGGTACAAGTGATATTGCCGAAAGAAACATAACAATAAATCTATTAGTTTTTAATATTATGAATTTAATAATCTTCAAATATAAAATAAAGCATAGGGTTATGAATCTTTATATTATTGAAAACATAATATTTTGATACCAATGGTGATGCAATTTTATAAGATAAAAGAAAGAATGGTAAATAACTTTAATAATATTGGTGTTGATGTGTTGATGTGGTTTTTATAAATGTGACACAATCATGTCCTGGGGCTTTTCCGTCGTTGATCGATTCAACTATCACTGTAGTTTCTTTAATCGTGATATCATTGCTGATTTTATCAAAGATCATTTTATTTAACTTTTAGTTGCCAAGTTGATAGTATCTCCATGTGGATCTCTTTGTTATTGGCTCCTATGTTAGCCATGTCTACATCGGTATTTACATGTACCTGTTCATTTTCTGAGTTTTTAAGTGAGTCAATTCTTGCTAAATATTCCCTTTATTGAGTTTAACTGGTTATTTTATCTGTTCGATTGAGACGTTAAGATTATTTAAATACTTAATTATTCGAGAATCTAATTCTATGAATAAGTCTTTTGTGTATGTTCACGTGGCATGTTTTGCGTCAGCAACTGTTACATGTGTTCAAAGAAAATGTAGTTTATTAAAAAATTAAAATAAAAACCTCTGAAGTTTGTCTGAGAACTTGTGGATTATTAAATTATTTTTAGAAGAAATTTTTGTCCATAAAAATCAGAGGACCCCTCATTTCTTAATTTTCGCATTCGGGGATGTAGCTCAGATGGTAGAGCGCTCGCTTAGCATGCGAGAGGTAAAGGGATCGATACCCTTCTTCTCCAATTTTGAAGAATCGGAATCTTCCGGGTGATAAATTAAATAATTTATTTATTTTCCTTCATGAAACAGGGAACTGAAGTGTGTGTAATTTGTAATGTAGATGGAGCTACTTTATTATTTTACTGATTAATTTAAAGCAATTGCTTTTAATTATCTTCACTTTTAAAAAAAAAAAAAAAAAAAAGCTACTTTAGTTACAGATAAATAATAAATATAAATAATAAATATAAATAATTCTAATAATCAAATAAATATACAATTCTTTGTTTGTGAAAACTAAAACCGAAAACTGAAAACTAAAAAATAAAATTTATTTGATTATTAGAATTATTTATATTTATTATTTATCTATAACTAAAGTAGCTTCATCTACATTACATAATGAATTTTGATGATAATACATTACAGTATTCATATGTATTTTAGAATTAAATGAATATTAATTGTATATTTATTTGATTATTAGAATTATTTACATTTATTATTTATCTATAACTAAAGTAGCTCCATCTACATTACATGTGATTTGGTTTTCTTATATTTTCTTGATCGTCAAAATAATAAAAATGATGATAATTTTTTATTTACGGTATAGGTTTACTTTATTTCAAAACAAATTAAATTTTAGTTTTCGAATTTTTAAAAATTCTTTTATGATAAATTGATTATTATTAATTAATGTTGATAAATTAGGTAATGATTCATTAGAAGAGCTATGGAATCCAAATTAATAAATTGGAGACCGAAATTTACAGTTCTAAATCTGGCCACTATAATAATTATAAAAAAACTGTTTTTTATTTTTTTATTATAGAATTAAATTTAGCAAATTTTATATGAAAGTTTGCTTCATCTGATACTTTGTCTGAAAAAGTAATGTGTTTGTTTTGTTGATTTAAATTAAACTTACAAGTTCTGATTTTAGTTAATCCATTATGTGTCTTCAATTGGTAGTTTTCTCTATGACTACCCAGATTT